AAGTGTGTGTGTGTGTGTGCTTGCTTGTGCTGGTGTGTGCTTGTGCTTGTGAGTATCTAGCTGTCGGTGTGTGTTTGGGACAACGGTAATGCGCCAGCGGGGCTGCTACCGAATACAATGGGTCCATTAGGAGCACCACCGACGAGACATCCATTAGAGTGATATTCTCGCTCTCTTTCTCTTTCTACTTCTGTTTTTTATTTGTAAAGTTATATCAAGTTGACATCGAGTCGAGTCGAGGCTGAACCAACATTTTTGAAGCAACTTGGGATCTAGATTTTTGAATTTAACCTCCCTCTCTCTTTCTCCTTCTTGCTCTTTCCTGTTGAAACGTGAAAAGTGAGGACACTGTGTGTGCTTTTGCCCGACACTGGTACACCAGCAAACAGCCAAACAGCAGCAGCAGCAACAGCAAACTAAATAGAGGTCCATTAGGTGCCTTTGTCTGTGCTCTGTTGTTCTTGTGTCGGTTTAGTCTTGGTACTAGTTGTGCCGGTGCTGCTGCTAATACCGCTAAAGCCGAATCTGATGCAGCAGCTCTCACTGTCTCAGCTCTCACTTCTCCTGATCTATAGGATTTCACATGCCACTGCACCGCGCACTCTTCAGTTCAGTGCAATTGTGCAGACACCCATTAGGCACTCACATACACACACTCACATTCACTAGGCTTTTTATGGTCGCTCAGGCGCCTGTAAAATCAAGGAGACTGTTTTTCGTAGCAGCACTACACGACTTCAGACACTTCGTCCTCCGTTTGGGTGCCCAGTTCTGCTCAGTAGTTGGTAGACAGGCAGACGGAGGAGACAGACTAAATAAACAAGCAATGGAGTGGAAAGCAAACACACACACACAGCAGTTGCAGTTGCTGTTGCAGACATCACTGCTGTCCACTGGCCACTTGAACTCACTCAGACAGACAGACAGAGAAAGCGCCCCCATTATGCAAGACTGACTGCGCAAAGAAGGAGAGAACCACTTGGAACCTCGTTCACCTGGGCGAGCACGTGCACACGGCAAAGGTGCGAGAGAAGGCGGCGGCGGCTGCGGCGGCAACGGCTAGGGCCGACAAAGACAAAGGCTGACAAAGGTAGTTGGCTACTATCGGCATTCGTTTGTCAGCGCCAAAACACACCGACGACAAACAAGGGAGCGAGAGCTCCGCGACTGCAGCGAGTGCAACGCCGACAATGAACAACAGCACAAGCGGACAGACAATGGGCAGACATGGGCAGTCTTCTCTGTATATTGACAACAGGAGAAAGGCCAGCAACACATCGCAATCGATTAGCAGCCGCAACCGCAGCTACTAATGTGCTCGTTAATGGCCGTGGTGGCACCTCTCTCAAAGTGAAGCACACGCCTCGCACACTGTGTGTTTGGCGCCACCAGGCAGGACGAGGACACCTCTGCACTACCTCTGCGAGCTCTAAAGTGATGGTCGCGACGCACCACGGTACAACAGTCATAATGGTAATCATAATAGGCAGCAGCAACAGCAGCCATTTAGATGGCATCTATCAATGCGTGGTAAAGAGCAGCAAGTGAGAATGCTAATTCACATCAGCAGGATCCTCTTGTTCTTCCTTGCACTTTGTCTATTCTTCTTTTCAATTCTCTCAAGTACCGCTAATCGATTGCACCAATTAGCTCATTGGCACTGGCTGCCACCGAATGGCAAAGCAGCCGCCGAAGCAGCCGCCGCCGCCTTTGTCGTCTCCGTTCGCACAAACACAATCGAATTAATGGGCCATTATGTGCAAGAGGGGGCAAAAGAGAGTAAGTGGTAAAATGGCCCTATTTTTGTAAATTGAAAAATTCAAAAGTGATTTTGGATCGCGGTTAATGGCAGAAGAAGAAGAAGAAAGCACAAGACAAAGTTGCTCTATTCTGAGCAATGTTACATCGATGACCTGTGCCGGAGCAGTAGTGCACTAATGCACTCGGCGCCATGCACTCAAGAAAGAGGACAACAAGGTGCCAACACAATCGAGGTGCCACCATCAGTAGCGGTGCCAACAGGAGCTGACCTTTGACACTGGTCAGCTAGTCTAGAGAGATATTGGAAAATTGAGGAGGTGTTGGCAAGAGCAGAGAGCGAGCAGCCAATTACTAGATTGGAAAGGGCACTCTCGATTAACCGTTTAAAAACGAGAGAAAATTGCCGCAAGTGAGGTGTGCAGGTAAGGCTCAGATCAGGTCAGAGGTTAATGCAGTGCCCATTAGTGTCGTCTTTCAGTGAAACAGTCAGTGAGTTCAGCTCAGTCAGCGGNGGAAAATTGAGGAGGTGTTGGCAAGAGCAGAGAGCGAGCAGCCAATTACTAGATTGGAAAGGGCACTCTCGATTAACCGTTTAAAAACGAGAGAAAATTGCCGCAAGTGAGGTGTGCAGGTAAGGCTCAGCTCAGCTCAGGTCAGAGGTTAATGCAGTGCCCATTAGTGTCGTCTTTTAGTGAAACAGTAAGTGAGTTCAGCTCAGTCAACGGTAGACAATGCCGTACAGTGCCTACTGATCGAGTCAATTAAGATGTGATTGAGGTGAGGAGCTGCTGCTGCTGCCGTTTCCATTGCCATTGCCACCGATCACACAATAGAGCACCTCTAATGGCCTCCTTTTAGTGGAGTTGCAGTACTTTTCCTACTGCCGTTTTTACTCAATCGAGCCAGCTTCTCAGAGAGTGATAGACTGTCTTCGTCGGTGTCTGCTGCTCTGCTCAAGCTCGCTGACATGCATCAGGTTGAGCTGCAGCAGCAGAAGAAGCAACGACAACGGCTAATGGCAGCTTTCCAGCTTCAAAGTTGCTGAACTCTCTGGCTGACTGACTGACACTGTGATTGGCACAATTGATTTACATGTTGCGGTTGCTGCTGCTGCTGCTGCCTAGCCGCAATCTTTATGCTTTAGCTTTTTCTTCTTCTTCCTGCAGCTGTCATCGAAGGAGAACACTGACTGAGTGAGTGGGCCTCGTTTGCTGGCTCTAAATGTGCCCATTGGCTGGGCACAAAAGCACAAAGTTTGAAGATGAAGTTGAAGACGGAGAAGAGGAAAAACAGTAAAAAAGTAGAGACTGTCTCAACTAAAGAAAAAGTAGCTTCAGCAAAAGAAACGTCTGCCAGTCACTATATTTGCCATGATTTACGAGAATGCAACAGAAAAGAAACAGCATCGCAGAGGCAAAAAAAGTTTCAAAAATGGAGCCATTTCAAAGAAAAAGACAAGGGGCAAGAATGAGGGCAACAAATTCTGTTTTCTTAAACATGCAACCTTCTCTTTTCCCCTTGGCGTCGGACATAAATCTTGGGCTGCTGCTGCTAGCAAACAAAAGGGCTGCAACCGCATACACATCAAGCTGAGCAACTTGACAGCCTCTGAAGGCGAAAGAGAAGGAAAGAAAGGCGCACTTTGCCTGACAGGAAATGGAAGTCAGAAGGCAAAGAAAAGGGAGCATAGAACTATAGGCATCAGTGCCAAGTGAAATTTTGGGCAATAGAGAACAATAGAAAAGGAAAAAAAGTTAACTAAAGTCGCTTTTTTAGTAAAAAACTTTGGGCACCTGCATTCAATCCAGCGACTGGTACNAGTGCCAAGTGAAATCTTGGGCAATAGAGAACAATAGAAAAGGAAAAAAAAGTTAACTAAAGTCGCTTTTTTAGTAAAAAACTTTGGACACCTGCATTCAATCCAGCGACTGGTATAACTTTTGGTGCATCGACGCCCAAACTCTAGCTGAGTCATCTCAAAATAAAAACCTTCAAAACATCACTTCAATGCCTCTCCTTTCCATCATCTTCATCTCTCAGCTCTTTACTCCCATCTTCAATTGCTATATAGTGTTCAAAATGTGTTTGAAGACTGTTCACTGCAGCTTTTTTAGCTCCGCTGTCAGCCATCACCACCACCCAAAGTTCAGCCGCGCAGTTATGAATTATGTAAGTGATGCAAAAGAGAAAGAAGAAAAGGAAGAAGAAGAAATTGATGAAGATGAAGGCGAGACTGCCTGTTTGTGTGTGCATGTGCATATGTTGACACATCAAGGAAATGCTGCTCAGGCACAAATCGTTCTAGTCTTCGTCAACATCGTCAGCGACGGAGTTGAGGGCAAAACCGGCGATTGAGCGCGAGAGAGAGGCAAAGGAGAGAACACGTCGCTACGCAAACATTATTCTTGGGAGCGATGTAGAAGAAGAAGGAGAGATTGAAAGAGCAAACAGTCAAGTGCAGTAAAGCACACGATGGTTGGTGTGTGTGCAAATGGAAAGCAAACACTACCACGACGACCAGCAAAAAGAAAGACAGCTTTCTTTTCTATCTTCTACTCTACTGACAAGTGACGAGAACTGCAAACTGAGAGTGAGTAAACGAAGAAGGAGTGGGTGCCAACTTCGAAGAGACTGAGAGTGAATGAAACTGAGAAACCGAGTCCTCGAGCGAGTAGTAGCGCCCAAGAATCGTAACACTTCTCCACAACCACAAAGTCATAAAAAGCAGAAGGACACATTTGTGACAGCACAAGCTGATCTAAACGGGCACCCGTTTTTTAGCTGTCGGTGCAATTAGCTTTCAGTAGTGCGCAATTGACGCACCGCAACTTTCATTTGATGTCTGTCCGCCTTCCCTCTTTCTCCTGTTTCCTCCTTTGCAAACACCAAACAGTCCAAATTAATTAACACTTCCTCACAGAAAGGAGGCTGCTGTGTAGTGTTTAATTGCACTGCTGCTGCTCTTTATGACCACCGTTGCTTTTGCAGCATTCAAACTAGCGTGAGAGCAGGTAGTAATTAAGCGTAATGAAAGCGAGCGTAATCACATTCGTTCTGCTGATGCTGCTGCTGCTGCCGTTGCTGATGTTCGCAACACCGAAAAAGAGGGACAGAAACTCTACAGCGGCTAATTAGAGCGCAGGCAAGCAAAAGTGTCGACTGTGTGTTTAAACACTGTGTTTAAAACACTGCAAAGTCGCAAGAACATGATTGTGAAAAGTAAATTTCGTTTCACTTACCTTCTCCTGCTGCTGCATCTGCTTGATGAGGATGCTGCGCTTCTTGTCTTTACAACGCTTGTTCTGAAACCTAAAATAACAGTAAAGATTAGACTTTGAATCCTTTTCTCCTTTCTTTCGCCTGACACTCACCACACTCGAATGACTCTGGGCGAGAGGCCGGTAATCTCCACCAGTTGCTCCTTCATCAGCGCATCAGGCCTTGGATTGGCGTTGTAGCAGTTGCGCAACGTCTGCAGCTGCTTCTCATTGAGCACCGTCCTCACGCGAGTTGGCTTGTGGTCGGCGTTCCGGGAGCTGCCACTCAGTGACCGGTGCGACCGATGGTGGCCACCGGGGCCCTTGTGAGAGCCCTCACGACCGTGGTGGCCATTGTTACCTCCATTACCTTCTCTGCCGTCTCTTCCACCACCACCACCTCCAGGACCTCCATTGGGCAGAGGACTTTGACCCGAGTGAGGTGGCGGCGGTGGCGGAGGCAACTGCGGCGGCAAACCTTGGGCGCCCGCCAGCGAGGTGTGATGATCGAGGTGAAGGCCTTTGGTGGTGGTGGTAGAAAACGGAAAAGTTTAAAGAAGAAGAAGAAAAAGAAGAAGAAGATGGTTAGATTCAAGACGTCGTGAAAAGGCATCTTTAGCCTCCACTTCATCAGCACCGACAAGTGACAAGTGCCCACACTGAAGTGGCTCTCGACAGCAGCGGCAGTTTTTTAAGTTTCTTTCTCAGCCTCTCAACGCCGACGCAACTCGTCGTCTCTGCCGACACTTTGAACTCAACACTTGGGCACTTCCCGACAAGCTCAGTGAGAAAACCAAACAAGTGCCCAACAGTGGTAATGAGAAACTGAACAAAAATCGAAGAAAAAAAATTCTGCAAAACAAAAGTNAGCCTCCACTTCATCAGCACCGACAAGTGACAAGTGCCCACACTGAAGTGGCTCTCGACAGCAGCGGCAGTTTTTTAAGTTTCTTTCTCAGCCTCTCAACGCCGACGCAACTCGTCGTCTCTGCCGACACTTTGAACTCAACACTTGGGCACTTCCCGACAAGCTCAGTGAGAAAACCAAACAAGTGCCCAACAGTGGTAATGAGAAACTGAACAAAAAATCGGAAAAGAAAATTCTGAAAAACAAAAATCTGAACTTACCTGAAAGTTGTGAGGAGAGGTGCGTCGGCGCTCCGGCGCCGCCGCTCGGTGAGATATTGCTGCTATTCATGTGACCGTTCAGATCACCGCCCGGACCGGGAATGATGCCCGCTGGGTGCAGGGGCATTGAGGGAACGCCAGAGGAGGAGGAGGGCGGGGGAGGCAGGGGCAGGGCGCCGTTCGGCCCGAGAACGGTCAGTGGAGAGGAGTGGTGGGAGTTGGTGGTGACGCCAAGGCCGCCCATCAGTCCGCCGTTCTCCTTCAGGCAATCAGGCGTCACCGGCGTCAGGGGCGTCAGTGAGGAGGTCGAGGAGGTGGTCGAGTTGGCGGAGGAGTTTGAGTTGGAGTGGAGGTGCAGTTTTGT